TTTCAAAATGTTTGATGGATTGATGCGAGAACATCTTTGAATTTCATCGCTCTATATATAATTTTTTTTTTTTTTATTTATTCGGTAGATCTTCAAAATGAAAATCATTTTCTCAATGGGTTTACGCCAAGCATTTATATAATGGTCTTCGAGAAGGAAGGTTTACTTACAGTTAAGGAATAAATTTTACTAAATTTGGATTATAAATTCTGAGGAATTCCTTTCTTGTAAATCTAAATATAACTTCAATTTCAGTAATACCGAACTTAATTGTTTATTGTATAATTTGTGAAACAACGATGCATGCTTATACATTGAATAAATAAAGTATCATTATTACTTTGAATCAATGACTCGATAAAATATTGTGAACCAATTGAGTGCTTAAGCATTCTAGTTATACTTTATTTATTATATTGATAGGCAATAAAGAATGTTCCATTAACTTTTAAAGTGAATTATTGATTATAATTTTTAAAATTGACGCAGTCAAAAGGTATTGTTTAATTTATTGTCATTAAAATAAATAAACTAAATTGAATTAAAATAAAATATCAGATTGTCAGAGCTAGTATTTACATGCTATTAAAATTCAAATAAAAATCATCAACCTTAACAATCTAATAATCTAGCAATTGATAGATTAAGATTTTATCATAAATCTATTTATAATCACAGTACATAACCCGATACAACTCGAAGAATAAAATTACATAATGTACGGGAGAATTAAACAACATGTTAACAATCAGAAAACCTTTCGGAACTTTCAATTTATACTTTAAAATATACATCATTAATATTTTACAAGTATAATGGTTGCGGGGTGAAACTCTAATCCCATTTTGGCAAAGTCGAAAATCGTTTTGATTATCCTGACGATTTTGTATTACAACCGAAAAAAAATATTTGGCCAACTACTAGAAAAAGTGATTGGAAACATTTTAAAATATGAAACAAAGAGCTTCCGGCGTTATTTAGCAACTTTGTAACGCTTGCACGAAATATGGCATTACTATGGTCTGCGATGACGCTTCTTAAGATGATGGTTCATGATACAGTAATGTATTTTTAATACTTTTAATCTATATTTTATATTATAATGAAGCAAGCATTGATTGGAATTTTATATCATATAGTGAGTTTTAATGTTATTCTTGAAAGTGTTGATTATGGTTTAAATTTTATATCGTTGTTTTAATATCGATGGGTTAAAACCGTCGAAACTTTCAAAAAAAAAAAAAAAAAAAAAAAAATTTTTCAACCGGTTTTCTGTTAAGACAAAAAAGGTTTTTTTTAAGTGGATTCATGAAACATCTTAAACATGCCTTGATTATTATTTTTAATAAATATCAAATGGTTATTTGCAAAAATTATATTTAATTAATGATTGATTTATGACACTAAAGGAGTTCTGACGTGCGATGAATTATTCTTTATTTCTATCTAAATTCTCCCTATGATTCTAAGTTATATTTAATAAAACAATAAATTTATCGGAAATTACAGTTAATTCGATTGATAATATTTAGCTAAATACATAGGTATTTCTACTAATTCAGGTCGTCTTCTTAAAGGTTCAACGAATGCTGGCAAAACAGACAAATTAACGATCAGCAATAAGACCCATTTTAAGAACCTTTGAATTTTTTCACGACCAAAAACAGCCTCCCACAGGTTGAATATAACACCGTGAATCATAAAGAAAAAGAAGTGTTCACCGGTCCAAATGTCAAACGTTCCAATTATAAGGTATTCATGCAATAAAGCACTAACACCGAACGCACCAAACACCCCCATCATATTTGCGATTTTCTTAGGGACAATTGTAGTGAATACATTCTTAACAGGTAAATAACCTAGTTCTTTGAAACTTTCATTAACCAATAATTGCCAACGAGCGGACCAAAAGTCACGAGGGCTTGATGCCATCCATGGTTCGCTAAACAAATGTTTTGTATTGAAAAGGTACGTGATCATCCATTCTTTTAAGGAGATATATTCGGAAGGAGTGAGAAGACCGGATTTAATTAAAATAGGCTTAAAATTTTTTGTCTCCGATGAGGAATGAAGGAATAAACGGTAAAATATTGCGCTAATAATAGTATATATATCATAATTATATACTGAAATCGTTAGGTATATACATAAGAAGAAATTTAATTGTTGTAACATCGAAGGCGTTGTAATCGCAGGGATCCCTTTTGTAAAAAATTCAATTAAACGAAGTTGGTATGGTTTCTCTGGAATTATCATGGTATATTTAATGGAAATGAACGATACAAGTTCAATAAAAAGACATTTTATCAAGGTAATAATGATGCGATTAATTAATTTTTTGTTGATTTGTGAAGTCGTGGGTGATGTGATCATCAAGGAATTTCCTTTTTCATTAGAACTTTCCTTTTTTGGAGGAATTATGTAAGAGTTAAAGCGAAAATTAAATAAAGACCAAAGGAATGATTTAAATTCTTTCTCTTGTTTCGAATCTTCTTGATTCAAGTATACTCGATTAGATTTTAAGAACAATAACATTTTTAGTCCAAATATTGCTCCATAAGTTACAAAAGTGTTATGAGGTAAAGGTGGATATTTTCCGCGAAAACTTATTGGAATTGAAACATATATTAGAGCGAGAGATAATAACGTATAAAATCGACTCCTTGAGTGAATTGGTTCAAATGTAAGTGATAAAAACAATAAGAATGGAGTGAAAAATACAGAAGAATATACTGAGATAGGTAAATTTGGAGGAAATTCTTGCCATGTTGATAATGGTGAATTAAATATGAAATGTAATGTGTGAGCGATCGTTACTGACAGCGGTATGTAAACCAGGTTTGATTTGGTGAAAATGCCAGATTCTGACATCCTGAAAATTTTAACTATTAAAAGAATTTGATATAAACTTTACGAAATAGAATTACTTTATGTAAAAATGAGGAGTGCTTTTTAACACTTATGAATTTGAAAGATTTAAATGAATTGATCCTTTGAATTCCACTTTATATACATATTTCGTTGCATAGACACGAGAAATTTGGAACATCATTATTCAATGATAATTTCATGCGCAAAACTTCAATAAATTTACTAAGGATAAATAAATAATGGTTTGCTAATTTTAAATTAAGCCGACATAAAATAGCTAGCCATATAAAGTAAATACAAGGTTTTGAAAAATCTTGGGAAAAAAAATTTTTATAATATTCAAACTTTTTATATTGTGACAATCAGTTATATATTTTGATTCACTATTAATAGTTCAATAATGACGTCTTCAATTTATTGTAAAAATCATTCATTATGACTTCAAAGAGTATTTTATGTTTCAATTGTCGTATAAAGAGAATACGCCATTCATGAATTATTATTCGTTAAAATTTTTTTTTCAATTTGCAGGAGAGTGCTAAAAGTTTAACATAAATATACTAACGACTCATATTTCCGAAGGTATTTTTTTAAAAAAAAAAATTTTTTCTACATAAAGAATTACCGTCGGTTGGAATAACGAGCGGTGTGATTTACAAGTAATATTTAAAAAATAAGGATAATGGTAACCTATTAGCCATTTCAGTTTAAGTAGCGGGCGAACATAAAAATTATCATGAAAGATATGTCAAATTTGACAATTGGCTTCCTTTAAATACTATACAGATTTAAATCATTTTTAACGTTCTGCCCATCAAATCATTAGAATAAAGACAAACCAATTTAAATCAAAAATATTGGTACTTTTGCTATTAAAATCAAGTTACAAGACATAGACCGTTCTCATCACCTTGGTGATACTCATCAATCGAATTGAAATAAAGATGGTGATCATGCTTCCTCTAAAAAAAAGAAACTGGCCCAATTGCCTCATAAAACTTTGACCCCTCATTCTTTACCACAAATAAATTATTATTGTAGCAACAGCAATATCCTGATGCACAACTTATAAATTAAACAGTTTGTTATTCTTTGCAAGGATTGTAACATAAAGTGTAGGATAATAATCTTCTGGCGATGGTCTCAAAAATCCATAACGTAAAAAGTAAATGAAAGAGTATGCTTGTGTGAACTTTTTTGGTTACTCTATCTGGTGGGTCGGTTTTATTGGCTTGGCGATTATTGCGGAACGTTCATAGTAAATCATTTGGTCTGAACAAGAGACCATACTAGTGATTGGAACCGTTAAAATTAGCCCAGCTATCCGGTTAACCAAATTTTCAAAATAATTAACCGGTTAATCATAAGTCCCTAAACCATACAAAGAAATTTTACGAATTGATAAAAAAGGCAAGCTATACACGATAAAGAAAAGTAAATTCGAACTAATTGATAGATCTCCGATTCTGTGCGATAAATGAATTTTACTCTTGCTTTATTTGTCACACAAGATTCACGATTTAGATTTTCGAAATGATCTTGATTACTTGGCACAAAACAATTGTATATCTACTAGATAAGTGAGATTAATACGACATATATTAATTCGCTTCGTCAAGAAAACAATTATGCAATTGCGGAGTGGAAAAAAAAAATCGACTTGTATGCCAAATTTTAATATTTGTTAATTGCTGCGTCTTGAAAACTTAAAAAAAAAAAAAACCATCTGAAGAAAAAAGATCATGTGTCGATCTTAAATTCATCGTTTCACATGATTAAACTTGTATTTAGAACAAAGAATTAGGTGACATGTTAAAATAAAATAAAAAAAAAAAAAACTTTTTTCCTTTATAGATTTTAGGAAACTTGTGATAATGTTTGTTTATCCATTTGAACCAATCCAAATTCAAATAGACAGAGAATGTTTACACTTAAAAAAACAAAGGAAAATCGTTTTTTAAAAATAAATATCGAAAAAAATTTTTATTAAAGTAAATTTTACGGTATATATTGTTCAACGTTTTTATTAAATTTTCCTTGTTCAATTATTTTTTATAATGAAAATGAATCGTATACTATTTTCGATTTTATTCCTTTCTTTAATTGAAGATGTAATCTTATTTACGCCAATGGCTCATTTGGGACATTCAATAGCAATGCATAATAATAGATTATATTTCTTTGGTGGAATAAAAATTGATCCAATCGAGAATACAGCAAATTCAACAAACGATTTATTTTACTTGGACCTTTCGGTTAAATTTAATTTAGATTCAAAAGAAGGACTTCCATGGGTAGATTTAACAAATAAATCGGGAATACCGGTCAAATCGAGTTGGTCAACGGTTTCACTTGGAGGAGAAAATTCTTCGACCTTCTATTTAATTGGAGGAACCATGAAAGATTTTTATACAAGTGAAGACGTAAATGATACCGTAATATATGCCTATGACCTGGAAACTGGACTATGGTCAATACCTGATTTAATTGTGATTGATAAAGATAGTAATGAAATTGATTTGACAAAAGAATCTACTTTACAACAACGAGATTATATTCAAAGAGTTGTTGGAGCACAATCTGTACATGACGAATTAGGAACGATTTATGTATTTGGTGGGACGCAAGGTCCTAATGCCAATGTGAATTTCGGTGATTTAATTATATTTGACAGCAAACAAATGATTTGGGACATTTACAATGGCGGAGAATTTCTTCACACTAGAGTAGGTTTTACCGCAACACTTCTTTCTAATGGAATTATTATTTATATTGGAGGATTACTCGATGATCTTGGTAACTCTGGTAACTTAACTCTGGTCGAAATGAATCATGTGAGCAAAATAAACAAATGTTAACGTCACGTGAGTTGCGTATATTTAAATTAAGATTGCTTCATTTAGATATGGACATTTGATACATCAACGCACAAATGGGTTCTTGAGGTAAAAAAAAAAAATTATTTATTAATTCACGATATATTTATTGTTTTGTGCAATGGACATCACGTATTCTAACGACTCATTCTTTATAGATGGCCGAAGGAGAAAGTACTTCCGGACGATACCACCACACTTCCGTGTTAAGTATGCACTCGAGCAGAACATCAATTATTTAATATGTCAACTAAAATTGTTTTTACGCACACTTTATAGCATTTGACGGGTTAATTATTGTATATGGTGGAATTAATACCGCAAAACATGCTGCGTCGCCGGATATCGTTGTATTAGATACTATCGTGTATCCACTTCAATGGATAGTTCCAGACGTAGATGAAACAAATAAACCAGCTTCGAGAGCATTACACTCTGCAGTTTCAGTTGGAACATATATGCTAATAGCATTCGGTAACAATTTGGCCATGAATTAATGATATTGTTTTAATGCTTGTAACTAATGTACACTTAATTTTATAGGAAACCTGACGTCAAAAACATCACCTCCATCAACTCCGGTCTCAGACATACATATTTTAGATATAACGAACTACAAGTGGATAACAGAATATTATCCTCGATCTCCGTCGATTTTTTCAACTCCGAATGTTGGATTCAGTTTTGGAATGTCACCTACTACGAGTATTATTGTTTCTATAAGTATTATTGTTGGCATTATGACAATTATAATTGCGTTTGTTATACTCTCACTTGTGCATATGAAAAAGCACGATAAACCAAGTGACAATGTAATAAATATAATTATATAGAAACGAATTTTTAGCATAGATTACATAAATTAATTATTTATATATTTAAACATGTATTTAAAGGCACTTGTAACATCATATCATCAAAAATAAACATATGTTGACGTAACTCTTATGTCAAAAAATATAATTCGGTAAATTGATTCGTAATAACAAAATCCTTTTTGATATTACAACCTATATCATTCAGAAGAACTTTTGTAATCTTGAATTAATTATCCAAACAATAAATTTTACTGAATAGCAGCATTATTCTGGATAACAAATGCGACAGGTTTATATGGAAAGTGTTATATTCCCTTCTCTTTTTGTTTTAATTATAATAATCGATTAGAAAGAGAAATGAATGTAATTTAACATATTTCTATATCATATATTTTGAAATTTTTTTATTTTGTTATAAGTAATCACGTGATCTGACCAATTGATCACTATAAGGTCATTTATTTTTATTTTAAATGAATTTGACTTGAAATTTATAATATAAATGATATCATTTGAGGTCTTTGAGGTCATTTTAAGGTGGTGCTTCCGTGAATTAACCTTAACGCTTAATTGATATATTACCTTAATAATGCCGTTAGCATTTAAGAAAGTCGCAGTTCTTTGCAATAATTGCGGCCAGTAACAAGTAAAAGACTTATCGGTATAAGTTATTGTCCCTTCATTCCAAAATCCCATTATTATACTACAGTAACAGTTTCTCACACCTTCACCTTAATTAATTTAAATTGAAGTGCTGCACCATTATTTTCTTTTAAATTAAAACATATTAATCCTAGGCGTTATTTTCAAGTTGATATCACCTAAATCATGATTAAAAGCATCAAGGTTCATCTTGTAGAGTAAAAAGGACAATTATGTTAAGAATGATCAGAAATAATATATTATTAACTCCCATCACGCATTGTAATATCACTTGCCGTGACTTCTTCAAAATCCCGATTCATTTATTTCGGTTAAATGTTGCAAATGGCTTTGCACGTGCACTCAACTTCTATTTACTACTTTCGTAGTCAATTGTGCTCACAAAAAAATCCAAGGAAATACGTACCTTCTCATCATACTCGAGGGCCTGACATTTAAGCATTATTTGCAGAGGTAATTGAGATTATTTCTTGTCTATAATTATTAACATTACTTTGGTATGAATTGTTAAGTTATTTCAAGATTTAATATCAATAGGTGCGGCAGGAAAACGTGCTGGAGCATAAATTTCTGTATCAAAAAAGTAAGGTATTCGTTAATTCATGTTACAATTAGTGATTTCTATGAATTAAAGCTAACAAACAATATACACAGAACAAGTGAATGTGATTTTTTTTTTTTTTTTTTTTTTTTTTTTTTTGTATAAAAACGATCAAAGATGGGTAAAACTAAATCAGGTGGCATAATGACCAACGCATGCAGATTATCAATTCAAATATAGAAGCGAATGAAATTTCAAAAGCCATTTTAAGTATTGAAAATCTTATAAATTAACTAATAAATTAATAAATTGAATATACCAAGTATTATTTTTGATTTGCGATGCCCATTCAATTCAGTCATTCTAGAATAGAGGAGTCTTCTATATTTAAAATCGTTGTCGGTCACGTATGTCACTTTTAGTTATCCTATATAACAATCAACAATTAATATAACTTTACACAAATCTAATATACAGTATATCAATCGCCGAAATTAAAAAATAAAAAAAAGAATGAAAAAGCAAAATAAAAAAACGAAATGAAAAAAGAACTAAAAAAACGAAAAATAAAGAAAAAATAAAAGTAAAAAAAAAATAAAAAAATAAAAGATCAAATTAAAAGAAATAAAAAAATAAAATAAAATAGTATAGTAAAAGATCGCGGAAACGAAAAAAAAAATAATAAAAAATAATTATAATTTCATAAATACACCAAATAACTGATAATATAAAATCAAATTCTGCTAAAATTTACATTTTTTCTGTCACGATAGCGATCTCGGGGTAGAATTGCTAGTTGTTAATAAGGTCATTAAAATTAGTATAAATTTTTAAATTAAAATCTAATATTTATAATGATATACATGTTTTACAATGGGAATAAATGAAAAATTACGAGGAATTTATAAATAAATTTATCAACTTTTGTATTTTTTATAGCGGAAAAATAATTGTAAGTCTAAAAAAAGTATATTTTCTGTTTTTTTTTTTTTTTAAAAAAAAACTAAAAAGTACTTTTTCAATCCTTGCTATCTTACTTTCCTTAGTAATCAAATTTGTGATATTATAGAACGATACAATATTAATGCATTGATTTCTAACCGCATTGTTACATTACTTCATTTAATAAATCATTTTCCCGAACATTACATCAAAATTATCAATTTCGTTATCACACGAGTCTGGGGGGGCTGACATATGCGATTTCCTAGACGTCATATTTTATCATTCTAAGCTAATACATTTTTTATTTCTTTCGAGGTAAATTATTTTATTTATCAAAATTACCATGTTTCTGCTATGGTGTGAAATTAAACAACCAACCAACCCAAAAGCTCAAATTATTTTTGTTAACATTTCCGAACCCACCGATCATCATAATTGCCTGCGAACTTTATTTATTTTTTTAATATTAAAGTTAACCTTTTTGTGAAAGTTTCTATTTAAATGCACCAATCAATTTGAAAGTGAAGATCTTTATTTTCTTTGATATCTTTATAAATCATTTAAATGCAGGTATAACACCACCAATCAAATCATGTAGATTTTTTATTTCTAATACATACATCATTTTCTGCCACTTTCATTTGATGCAGATACTCGTATTTTTAACAACGCGATCATAATGCAGTTATCATAACAATTTTTAATTCTCAAAAAAATCTCGTTCTGAATCAGACGAAAAATATACGGAGCTCGGTATGCGCAAATTTCGTTATCTATATCAATATGAAATACGAGAATTTTACGCACATTATTCCTTATCTTTCAGCATATTTTCCAAATAAGTTTTGTAACATCACCTTTTTTATAGGGGTTATTTTATTCGCTTTATGAGTGGCCATAATAAAAACATACAACTTTATCAGATCTTATAAAGAAAAATAAAGTGTTTCATATCTTTGCTTCCGTTAATTTTGGACGTAATTTATTCCTTGAAGGCGTCATCGAATAATAAAGATTTATCTCTTAAAACGTATTAAAATGTTTAAAATAATTTTTTACCGATGCAATTTTACGATTATTGATGATAATTGTCCATTGAAAAAAATATATATTTCAAATGTCAAAGTCTTGGCTTTCTTATCTAATTGTGTATTTCAATTTATCAGATCTCGGATAAACATTTTTCCGCCGGTAATTGCGAATAAAATGACAAAAGACTCGTGAAAAGGGATTTTAACAATGATATTGCCTTGAATTTCCTAATTAAAAAATTCACAAGGAAATGATACGTATTCCTGTGGTTTATAAAATTTATAAAGAAAATGAGCCGTGAAGGTTTTTAATAATGAGATGAGCAAATTTCTTTTAATTCTATAACAAACAAATAAGATTTTTGATTTTGTTTATTTATTTGTTGACGCTAATTAAAAATTCAATGATCTACAAAAAATTTTAAATTGTTACGAAATTAGAATAAAATTTAGCCGCGTGTCACTTTGAAATGATATTCATATGTTCATGTGTTTCATGTTTCATGAATTAGAACTAATTAGGCAATTCACCAAGTATATATCAATGATCGTCAAACAAAAAAAAAAATAGATGAAGCCATAAATGGTTACGATGAACGCAGGTTGAGATGTTACTCTCAAACAAATCATTTTCACGAAATCCAGGCACGCGTCAAATAACCATCATTTCATTCGCTTAAATCATTTCTTTAGTGTGCGAATTTAAAATTACCCCACCAATGAAAATATTTAAAATTTGAAAACATCGTTGCGCGTGATATTAGATGATCTTTCGGAATTATTGTTAAATGGGTATATAAATGAACCATCCACTTTTCTTTCTCCAACCATAATTTTCTGATCAAAAATGCATATACCTGGTAAACCATCGTCAACTTCTTATTCTCCTACTACAAGTTCTCAACCCCTAACACCCTTGATATCGCAAGATAATACATCCCGTAAGTCTAAATTTTTGTTTTAATCACCCTTGAACATTTATACATCTGTAACTTTTCTCTCTTCATTTCACAGAACAAACGACGGAAGCTGCTCCAATCGAAAGAAGAGGTCGCAAAGGTTTTGCGACGACGATGATGCCTCTGTCTGTTAGTAATTCTTTTCAAAATTTATGAGTGATACGTTATTTTACCATATTAATTTTTTTTTCGATTTTACAGAAAAAACATTATCAGAATTCATTAAATCAAAGAATTCTCTGCCAAAGACGTGCTAATTATATTCGAAATTTGGAAATTAAAGTTACGACTTTTGAATCGTTATATTTCGATGCTCAAAATGAAATTCAATTGTTACGTGAAAAATTGGCTTTGCTTGAAGAATGAATGAAATTGATCTATCAGACTTGTTAAATAAGACGGCAACGCGTTGTAAATTTAGTATTGTAATTTTATTTTTTTTAAATTCATTCTTATATTCCTATAAAATGAATTTACTCAGCTGTATTAATAAAGAAACATTCGATTGTAATAATTGTAAAGAAAGAAGTTTGTACCATAAAGGCATCCTTAAAACCAATAAAACAATGTCCCTATCGTTTGTTTTATCGAGGTGATCACTAACAACGTTTCGATTCATTTAATGAATTTGTGTTACGCGAAAAGACGACGGCAACGATTCTAATTGGTAGAGTTTATTCATTTTTTGATGCTGTCTAAATATATACATTAAAGAAGAATTTGTAATTAATAAATATTTGGATCAGTTTTAGAAACGGTTGAGCTAATTTGTATAATTAATGTTGCGCCCTTCTAATTTCCAGGTTCTTTATTTATACCATAAAGGCTAGAACTTGCCATTTCCATCTTTTCCTTGTCTTTAAATTCTTTAAAATCTAACAATAGTGTTATTGAATAATATTGTGACAACACATTAATTTAACATCCTTTATATATTTTCGGTTGATAATTAATCACGAAATTTTCTACATATAGCGAATAAATTCATCGTAAGGATAGTCGGAAGTACGGTATTAAAAGGTTCTAGTGAAACATTAAAGTGCATCATCGTAAGCTCTTCATTACAATAAAATTTGACGATTTTATATATATATTCGGGAACTTTTGATAAAGTAAAAATATAAAGTTTCTTTGGGGATGCATGATTGTAGAGTATCAGCCATTTTCCAGAAATTTCACGAATTTTTTTTTTTTTTTTTTTTTTTACGGATGTTAAATGATATCATAATTTCAAAATTAGTAAATGTTAGAAAAATCGTAACTAAATTTAGACACTTTGTTAGATCACATTGTTGATTAATTAAGGTTGCTGACGTTTCCATCGAAAATAATAGTCGAATCGTCAAAAACTCGAAATTTGTATATTAAAAAAAAAAACCTGTCGAAAGCTAAAATCGAAAGCATTAGGGTTTCGATTTTTGCCATTTGCTGAAATATTTGAACACTAATTCTTCTTTGAAAGAAAGTATTTGGTTTTCATAATAGCTTTAATTGATCTAACGCAGCAAAAAAAAAAAAAAAAAAATTTAATTAAATTTTGTTGAAAAATGACCGATTTCACTTTTTTTTTTTTCACATATTTTAAATAAAACTGCAACTTGATTATCAATAACAATCAATTGTGTAAAACGTTCACAGTAATGAATTGAAAACGTGTTAAATCCAATGGATATTTTAAATACCATTTTGGGTCAATGCATGACACTGTGTCATCTAAAAAAACCACAAGGAATAGTAATAAAATTTATCATACATGTACAGTATGTCAATCGAATAATATAAACAGTATGGATATTAATTAGCTCAAGTCTGGTTATAAATACATTATTTATTTATCATTTATTATTATTATTTTTTTTTTTATTCCTTCAATCCATCAATATATTGACAGTTTAAACTAACTAATATCATTTTATTTCGATCTAATAAATTAAAAAAAAGATAATTTAATTTTAATATATTTCCATTGTTCCTTTGCCATTCTAATTTATTCCGCAAAAAAAAAAAAAAAAAAAATTATTTCCTAAAAAAAATTAATGTAAACGCTTTTAAAACATATACCGTAGAGCACTGCCTAAAAGACCCCCATTTGACCGTACCCCCATTATAATATATCCGGGTATTTTATTAGGTGCAAAAAAATTATCTTCATTTAAGATCCGGGTATAATTCAATTTTTAAAATCAAATCAATACAATTAAATTCAAACAATCAAATTAATACAATTAAATCAAATCAGTACAATTAAAATAAATGTATTACCCGTATTATATTTAATCTTACGCGTTCCTTAAAATGTATTCTAACAATTACAAAGATCAATGATCATCATCACATCCGTGATATATAGGATTCATCATATAAAATTTAAAAATTCTTTTAACACAAATAAAACACAATTAAAACATAAATTTAATAAATTCATAACAAATTGGCCAAAATTAATGAAAAAACAATGGGAGTTATCAACACAAATACAACACGAATTCAACACAGATAACGGTGACATTTAATAATCACGAGATATTTAAAACGTGATTTAAAAAAAAAACAAAAAAAAGAAAACGAACACAGCAGCAAAT